TATTTTTATTACTTGTGTCGAATAAACATGGTAAAAATAAATTTTAGCTTTATCTTGATACTTTTGTATTTATTGTTGGAATGAAAACCAATATTATTTATTTTGAAATATTACTTAATAATAAGGTTTATAACCTCGTACGGAATTACCCGCGCGCGGTACGAAAAATAAATAAATAAATAACCTACTGACTAGTATATGCGCATAGAGTACATGTATATCATATGCATGCACGCACGTGCATACTCGGCACGATGTATTGCGACACAGCATGCTGATCTGGGCGCGAACTCGATACGTCAACGTGAATTTCGACAGCATCGACCTTCAGCATTCATTGTCATCGTAGTCGTAGGTCAACCTCGTAGTCGTACGTATGAGCGATAGTCATAAAAAATGGCAGATGAGCAATTTGGTGATGATTGCAGGAACATCGAAAGGTTTCTTGCGAATAGGAGTTATCCGGAAGGCATATAAAGCAGCATTCAAACCAAATTAAAAGGCCTGATTAGAAAACACCCCGACATCTGCTTTTACAGGCAAACTAAGCCTATGGCAACAACTGCCCTTTTTGCTAGACCACCCAGTCCCCGTCGCTTCGCGACGGCGCTGTCTATAGTTATTGTTTGTGGTCAATCATTGGCCGCAATTATCAACATATTTGAACAACGGGAATCTGCATTTCTATACAAAGTTCTCAAATTGGCAATCGTTGGTGTAGCTAATTTGGAGAAGTTTGATTGGTTGCAAAGGCCGACCAGAATAGTTCATTTTGCTTTAGGGGTGTACCATGGCGTGTATTCAATAATACGTGAGCACGCACGCTCTCCGATGAGATTCGGAACGGATCGGCGGCTAAATATCCCGCCGATTGGTTCCACGGAATGAATCGCCCGGCCGGAACCGATCGCCTGTGACTAGCGGAACGAATCTACGAATCCAGAACAAATCGGCGGGTACATATCCAGGCGATCGGTTCCGGAGGAACCGATCGCCTGCACGGAACAAATCGCCTATGACACCGGCCAGCGCATATTTTTTTTTACACAACTGTTTAGCCACTTCAGTCAAATATACCGTGCAAACGACTAGAGACAGAGTCTAGCATTACCCTTAGCAGTGTTGGATTGCTGGAGCTGCACATGTGTACATACTTGTTATTTGTTTCGGGTTAAATCTATCCTCTGTTCTCTTTCATTATGTATTTCTGTGTTCTCCATCAATCTATCCTCTTCTCTTTTGTCATGTACTTTTTTTTTCTTCAATCTATCCTTTTCTCCTTCATTATATATTTCTTTGTTTTTCCACAATCTACCCCCCACTGCCCCAGTTCTCCTTCGTTATGTTATTCTTTTGTTCTCCTTCATTCTAACCTCTTTTCTTTTGTTTTATGTATTTCTTTGTTTCTCCTTCAATCTATCCTTTTCTCCTTCGTCATCTATTTCTTTTTTTTAATCTGATAGATTTCCTTTCTCCTTATTTATGTATTTCCCTAGCTGTGTTTCCTTAGTCTCAATCTATGATCCTCTTACAGCTCTTCAATTATGTATTTCTATGTTTTTCCTTCTCCATATCCTCTCCACTATCCTTGTTTCCCCCCCCCCCCTTTCTATCATTTTCCTCTCCCTGGGTGTACGCATGGACCAGAGACGTGATAGAGAAGGACTAGAATCAAGCCGCTCTCCTTTGACCCCATGCTCCAAGCCGCCGAAAAGTTATGCGCTAATCTGCAACTGTTGACCAGGTGGTGAGATAAAAGAGCGCATGAAATTTCAGGATTTAGAATTCCTACATCAGAAAATGGTATCACAGCAACTGGTCGCTGTCCCTTTCAATGATTTCTCATCCATTGTTGAATGTGTAAAGAGTAGAACAAGCGAACACAAACTTGTGTAATTTCATCCTTTTCTCCAACTGCAAAAATACAAAAAAAACACACGCAAAAACACGCATTAGCAAACTTAAAGTTATCGAAGATTGTAAATCATAGATTACACAACGGGACATTAAAACATGCACAAATTAGTGCATTATCCTAAAATATTAAGTTTTTGTCAGGATCTAATTTTTCTTTTTGACACAAAATTATTGGAAGGGCGGAGTCCTAAATTTGAAAAAAATGTTTAATGCACTATTCCCAATACAATCCCCATATAAAGTTGAAAATTACACTGAAATTTTTCCGGTAATTTAATATTTTGTAATAAATGTGGAACTGGTGCCTGGGGGCCGTTTCTCGAAACCGTCATAACTACAAGATCAACGACATCTCGCCACTGCCACGCAACTTGTCAGCTAAGTGTTTCACTAAGCCGTCTTTGCCAAGATGAGCGACAACTTCCGCGACAAGCGAGTTGTCACTGCTCCGAACCCGTCATATCTTTTTAATTGCTGTAAAGCGCCATCACAAGTCAGTTTGTTGCCATTCCATGGGCCGCGAAATGTACGATTTAGTTTCACTATCATTTTGAGAAAAATATAAACGAGTTCGGTACGTAATTCTCTGGGATGCGAAATGCAAATGTACAAAAGTGAGAATACAAATTATACAGAAACTTTAAAAAGCTAAATATAAACATTAAATCACAAATCATTAAACTATAACATATAAATAAGATAGATAAGAATGTTACACACCTTTTTCAGTAGTCGATCCATAGTCTTTTCTTAGGATACCGTCATACCTTGGAGCCTATTTGCATTATTATTCCCTCTCTAATTACTTCTTCCAAATTATATTTTCAATGTCAAATCAATTATATAACGAGTATTTATGAGACTCTAGAATAAGAACTGGCTGAGAAAAGGTATTTTGCCTAAAATTCCTCGTCACAATAAACAAAAAGTACGTATTGATAAACTATCACTTTACGGTATCCTTCAACTAACTTTTCATTCGACTGTCGAAAAAAAAACACTCACCGGTTTTTCTTCAATTTAAGAATCTTTACAGAAATATGCAAATCGTTTGGTGATCTACATTTGATAATGACACTATTTATTATTTATTTTAGGAGAATTTATATGTATATATTTCTTTTTGAACAATTTTAGCCCCAAAACTTGTTTTGGGTTATTCTTGATAAATAAAATGGATCGTGACAAAGACTTTGTTCTTGAGCTGCTAGTATCGCGATATATCGATATCATGTCTGTTATGGCTTTGTGAAACGGTTTATCCGCTTCATGACATCTGCGTAGGTCGCCGACAAAGATATGACTGTCATGGAGTTGGTTTCGAGAAACGGCCCCCGGCCTCCAAAGATTCCCGCAGTGGAAGCGCGGCTCGGAGCATGGAACTTCAAAGCCAAGTGGAATGTCAAACAGTCCTTTGTTACGCTTTAGAACTCACGAATGCGTTTGAATAAATTACAAGAGTTTCGACTCCTTTCTTTCACCTCCCTGCATGGACCTACTACAAGTAGGTCCATGGTGGACGGCTTAGGCTCTTTCACCAGAGCACTTCTTGGAATTTTTTCGCGAAAGTGGCTAAACAGTTGTGTAAAAAAAATATGCGCTGCCGGCCAATTTGGCTATGGATAATATCTCGGTCTTGGTTCCAGTTTCATTACTAAACAAACAAAGAATAGTCTAATAATAGTGATGCAGATAATGAATGTAAATCTTTATACCAATTATAAACATTGTATTTGTTTGCATCTTTTATTTATTCATTTGTTGTAATACGTATAATTTCTACAGAGAATGATATTATTTTCGAAGATGTATTGGCTATGTTGAAGAAATTCTTACATTAACGAACTACACGACATCAAAGAAATAATTTTCATTTCCTGAATAAAAAACATTTTTTGACATATTACATAGTAAATTTGAATCGCATTTTCCTTTATTTGTACTTTCATGATTGTAACAATTTCTAAGTGAATAATGAATTTAATAATACTGTTTCCAAGCATGTATATTAGGAGTTCAATGAATATCACAGACATGTATTTAATAGAACCGACAAAACAAATCCATATTACAAACAAGATCTTAATAAAAGTGATATACGACGGATTTCTACTTGAGAATTTTTTTTTTAATTTACACCAATATTTAAGCCAATAATATCTTGATAACATGACTCATATACAGCACTCTAATTCACTTAAAATAAATGGATGGATAGTCATGGCGCAACAATCTGCGAATTGAGAGGTACATGTTTATGCAAAATAAAGTAGAAAGGGTGAGGAAAATAGAGAGGTAAAGAGAGATAGAACGAGAAAGGGCAGAAGCGCGTAGAAGAGCGAAAAGAGGGCCTATGAGAAAGGAGTGCTTCTCCGTTATAGGGTTAATTACGAATTATACACACACTCACCCCACCCAGATATATAAATGACATCCGATACCAAGTCCATGTTCTGGTTTATAACGATAACAAGAGGGAACATGTACCTGGTAAATTTTCTTGCTTTTTAATCAAAGAGTTTATTATCCTGTTTAGAAGTCGTCCAGTTGAACCGTACGTCGTTGGACAGATTCGACTGATTTAATACGACAAACAGTAAGAGCAAAAATCCTCATATAGCTTTTCTAAATATATTTCCTTGTATCTATAGTTTATAAAAAGCAACAAGGTGCTTTGTTTTCAAACCATTCCAAATTCTGTTAATGAAAAAGATAATGAAATATTGGTTTGCAGAGCCTAAACTTTACCTGGTAGAGTAGCCTTTATATCTGATATGTAAGAGTATTATAAATACATGTATTCTAATGTTTATGTGATTTTCATATGAATTCATTAGTATTATATAGGAGTATCAGAACATTCCGACTGAATAACAAACATGGAATTCTCTATTAACGTAATCCATATACATAGTTATATATATATATATATATACCACCACATATTTTACTTAAATAACAATAATTTCCAGACGCATAAACAACTAAGATATCGGAAACTCCTCAACTTATCCTTTACACTCAAACCACAGTACAAAAATGAAAGATAAGAAATACGTCACTGATGGGCACATCGCCATTTATTCTTCGTTTCTACGATAATTTCCCCTGCAAAAAAAAATCCTCCGGGATCACCGAATTTCCAAAATTTAACACTGCCTAAAAAACAAAACTTAACCTATTTATACCTGACCTTATACCTTCTTACAAACTTAGCCCTATTTATATCTTGAATTGTTCAACGACATAGACGATGGAGCAAAAGCACGGCCGCCACTCTTTGTTTTTAGCATTATCTCGCCATGGCTCTGGTTATATAAAACGCAGAGTATTCACGACCAACTAGCTGGACACGGCATAGCTTAAATGAAGAGGGCGAAGATGTGTGGACGATCAATGACCTATTTGAGGACGATTAGGAAGAGGGCGATGCAAAGGACTAGAAGAACGGAAGAAAATGAAGTGACGAGCGCAGTGCTACCTGAATGCACTTGACGACAGTCAGGCAGTCCCGTAGCCGGGGGCAACGTTTCATCTGCTGAGACAAAACAAACATCATCAGAAAAAAAATTAAAGAGAGCACTCATTCGAGCGAGGTGCGAAAGATCATTGTTTTTAATATCACAATGCAATGGCGCAATGAGCAAAAAAAAAAACATTAAGGGAGTGAGTCAGTGAAAATTTGTATATTTCCTAAAGCACCATTGAAGGGGTATTAATCTTTGTGGGGAAATGCACAATATAATATATTACTAAAAATGATGATACAATATTAAAGGTAATACAAAGTTTTGGTATGGGGTCATGAATTTGTTTCAAATTAACATAATGGAAGCATAATTATGTGATCCTACAATATTCATTGCTCGTTATCGCGGTTGAAATCGAGTCTAAAGTTATTAAATTGTAATTAATTAACTCTTTATGTTGTATAGCTCCCTCCCAAGGTCAAGATATTAATTCAGCTATAAAACAATGTTTCTTGACTAAAATTGACCGATTAGCTATTCACGTTTGGAAATTATATATCACAACTACATATTCTGAAATTTTCATGGTCGCAGCTACCATTGTACGGCCGTAGGCGCTGTTTGAAATTTATCAAAATTTACCGGGAGCACCGGTAAATTTTTATATTTAATTTGTCTCGAAAGCAAAAGTGTTTTAGGGACTAAATTTTCTAGTGCTTATAATACATCCACAGGGTCATCCAAATATATAAAAATTATAAAGAATCACTATCCACCCAATTTTCAAAATTTCCCAAAACTTTGTATTACCTTTAATAATTTAATATCAACAAATACTATCTTGCATAAACTAAACTAAATAATCATTATAATGATAATAATGATAACAAATAAATAAATAATTAAAGGTAAAGACCAGTTTTGGAAACGCCCCCCTCTCAAAGAACATGTTTTGACTAATACGTGATCATAAAAAAAAATGTTGGTAAAATATATTTGGTAAATTATTATATATATTTGGACCTGATAGATATAACGCACGTGTCGCGTATAGTCCCATACACATTTTTCTGTGTACAGTGCTTGTAAATTCACCACGACTGGCCAAATTTCTTATCATTTTGATGATTCCAGAACCTTGCAGTACACACCAATACTTAATATTATATGATAGATGTTCAACATTTTATGATCGATTCCAGAAGGTTTCTTTCACAATGCAATCGCATGACCAGGACTCAACTTTATATTTACTAATAATACTGATTTAAAATGAATTGATATAATTTGGCACTACATAGTCAAGATTACTGCCTTATTTAGCCGATACTTGAATGACTTCAATAGTGCCTCAGGACAATGCTGGCTGTAGACGGGCAATCAACCAATACTTATCATAATTCTATTTTGCAAACACATTACCTAAATTGATTGATTGTTGCACACCTTAAGATTAACCTAATATATAGCACTCATTCAAACAGCTAATTATCATGATAAAATAATGACAGCGACAATGATACTTATGAAAATAATGATAATGATGACAAAAATAACAATGGTAATGCCAATAATAAAAATGATCTTAAACATAATAATAATATATATTAATCATAATAATAAAATGACAATGTGATAATCAAATTCTTAAAAAAATCAATGATAACAAAAATGAAAATAATAATTATAATAATGATAATAATAATGAATATGATAATAATAATAGTATGGGAATGATAACTGACCACTAGACCTGCGTACAGTCACAGAAAATTGGCAATCATCTGTATTTCCTGCCGCATCACTGGCCCGATAGGACAGCTCGGTTATGCCCAAAGGGAAATCGCCTCCGTTAGTTCCTGGACCTAGAAAGACCATTGTGGGACAGCTGGACCAGCTGTTGAGTACGGGCTCGGTCCATGAGATCGATGGCGCATTCGAAGCGTTGTCGTCGATATTGACGACGATGTTGTCAGGGCAACCCTGGATGGCAACGGGTTCATTATATGGAGCTGTTAAAAAATACATGGATTTAATATCAATCGTCAAATCTAATTCATAAAGAAATATATATACATATATATATATATATATATGTATATATATATATATATATATATATATATATATATAAATATAAAAAGTTATATTGCAAATATATATTTACATTCGTATTGTGTTCATAATATATGTTTGAGCAGCGTGCATTTGACGCTGAAAGATGCATGCAAAAAGGAGAAGAAGAAGAAGAAGAAAATTGAAGTGACCCTAGGCCTAAAATAAAATCTTGTTGTATTGCCCTTTGCTACCGACCCAAAAATCTGAAAATCTACAGTCGGCATTTAATTTTTATTTTCTTTACCGTTTTTTTAGATTTGTTTATTATTAATTTATTTTTTAAAAAGTATTTTGTTTGTTGGGATAAATGGGATATAAATGCATGAAATCAAATCATTTACAAATTCTCACTCGTCTTCTGCCTTAGTTTCAAAACTCTACTAGCGTAAAGTTGTAAACATCTCGATCAACACAACATTGCAAACCATGGATTATTATGAGGTGAACAAGATATGAATGGAATGATGACGCTGAAACACATGTATTTAAGCATTAATAACTGAGAAATATCAGCCGAAAGAGGGCGGGAAGAAAAAACAACATTCAAAACTGAAAAATATCGGCCCAAAGAGGGCGACAAAAAAAAAAAAAAAAAAAAACACTTTTCCGACCGACCAACCCATGTTTTGGCACTACAACAGGTTTTTATTTTAGGCCCTATAAAGAAACCCCAAGTTTACGCGTGAATTATTCAATAATTCAAAATGATATTTAGTTAAATGTGTACATGATTTGAAAGCTTATTTTCTAGTTAACATATAACATTAAAAAAAACCTCAACAAAAAGTCGCGCATTAATAATTTCATACAGCATGAAGTGACAGTTTCAGAAACCCAATTGTCTAAACTAAGTGGATGGCTGATACGTTTGGTTTATTTTGGTTTTGAAAACATATAAAATGATTTTGAATTAATAATTGCTTAAAATACCATCATTTCAAAGCGCACGTCTTTTAAGTGCATACTACGAGACCATACTCATGATGGAAGGATAAATGACTAAGCAGGCATTATTTAAACGGAAAAATATCTGGTTTCAATGTGTCTATACCAGGTAATACGCGGTCTTCGCTTTCAAGTACGCCTCCGCTGGTGTCACAAGCGAGAATCTCCTGTAAGAGCCACAACCCTAACCGTGGTCTAGTTAGTGCAATAATTATAGATATTGTATGCTTAAAATAGTGATATTTCCAAAAAGATATATGTTTAATTTGACATTTCACATGTAGGCCTATGTACAATTATTTATCATTGCATTAATATTCTTATGTTTTGACACTGTTATTGCATAATGCAGGGCTTTCTTGAAAAGCAGGTCCACTGGCTTCCAGTGGAACTGAATGAAACTACTCTATTAAAAGAAATAATGAATAAATGAATAATAATGCCTCCTGGCTGCGCAAAGAGTTGTGCATGCTCAGATGAGTTCTCATTAAACAGACTAACTTGTTAAATTATTTGTATCATGTTATCTTTTTTGTGTTTCTTAAAATAACATAGAAAAGCGGATACAATGGAGAAAAAAATGAAAAAACAAAGTTATATTTTAAAACACCAGACATTAATGGCTCTCAAAAATAGTATAATTTGTATATTCATGTTTTTATCCAGAGATCTGACGCGGCCTGAGACACAGGCGTCTTACTGTTTGATATGATCCGAGTAGTCACAGGGCTGATGGCAAGATCGTTGCCACTCGTCAATGTCACCGTACTGTTGTGAATCGTGAGAGTGGATGACTTCATATCATACTCGTTGATCAAGCTCGTGATGGCATAACTCGTGGTAGAACGTGACTGAGCTGACCAGAACAGCCTGCTGCCGTACTTGCTGAGAGAACTACCCGTTGTTTCGGTGGAGAATACTTTGATGGTTCTATTCCCACTCCCGTCTAGATTCGTGACGCCTAATTCAGTCCTTTTCGTGTAGTAAAACAAGCGGGCTGGTATAAGAAATAGTAAGAAAAAATATTAGATGATAAATGCAGGCTGCACAATTTTTTTGAATATGGCTATTACCCTTTGTTCTATTCAACGGTTCTTTCTGGCAATTTTGACCGATATAAAAGCCTCAAAACTACCCCTCCCCTTCAAAATAAAATATATATACATATATATCATAGATATATGCCATAGACTTGGTAAATGATTCTTAGTAAATAATTGCCATGCTCATATACTCCATAAAAGTGTACCCAATATATTTGGAATAAAGGGAACATTCATATTTGTGAGGTAAAGTATTATCTAATAATATTGGGTACACTCCAATTGTAAATGTGTACTGTTTTATCTTACATAATGGTTACAAAATATGAAAGTGACGACAGACTAACGGTTTCGTCACTAGGTCTACCACGTATAACTGGTGCTCGGTGATCAGTGCCCCATTATACAAATCTAAGCAATTGTACGATTGATTTTTAAGATTGATTGCACATAGTGATCAATGCAATCAATCGCAAAAATCAATAGCACAATCCATTGCTAAGCTTTGTGTTACAAGACCCAATAATGGAAGGGATGCTTGTTGGATACATGAGATGTTATCCTATTTGCATTGTTTTCTTTTCTCCGCATTAATCATATCCTATACGGCAATCCGTTAGCGTGCCAAAAACTAACATACAACATTTAAACCCTTAACTTTGCATTCATTTTTGGACACGGTGACTCTTAGGTTGGCGAGTCAAAGACACAGTCCTACCGTAGCAAATAAGGCATTTTCGATTGTGTCGACGAGAACGCCGTCTACGTCCAGAGCGCGTGTTCACCCAGTTAAGCTATGGTCACAACCCCCAAAAGTAGCCTGTTCGGCGGCCGGGCGGCGAGTTTTTAGCCAATTTCGCCCGGGCATCGAGCAGCGGCCACCCGGGCACCATTTGTTTTTAGGGCATCGTTCGGTCGCTGCTGAAGTTTCAGCGCGGAGTTAAAATTCGGCGGCGCCTGCTCACTTTTCACTCGCAGCCCAAAAAACGCTCGGTGGCCGGGCGGTCGCCTCCCGGGCACCGACCTAATCGAGCGTTCACCGTCGAGCGATTTAGGTCTAAAATCAAAGCCGCTAGGTCAAAGGCTGCTGAACGGTCGCCGCCCAGTTACTGCCATGTCGTCGCCGGGAGATCGGTCGGTCACTGGGCGGCGAGTTCAAAATCGGCCGGCAGCCGTTGACCTCGCAGCTTCGATTTGACTTATATCGCTCGATTAGGCCAGTGCCCGGGCGGCGACCCCCCCCCCCCCCCCCCCCCGGGCACCGAGCGTATTTTGGTGCCCCGCCGATCACCGGCCGGCCGCCGGGCAATTTCATTAAAATCAGCCGGTGGCCGGTAGGAGACCGCTCGGGAATCGGTGGATCATCAGTCGTTCACTAGAGAAGCTCTCCGATTTCGCCCAATTTTGACCTAAAATCGACCGGCGATCGACGGGAAATCGACAGAGCACCGCTCAGCCATCGCTTGGGCTCGACAGCCTGCTCGACTTCTCCAAAAATCGCTGGGCGATGCCTTAATTCCAGCGGCGACCGAGCAGGCTACAAATCGGTCGGTTCCATTTGAAAACGTTTCGATTTCAGTCAACGCCCACTCGCCACTAGTGAACAAGATGATGTGACGCATTCGTCATATCCATTCCCCCCCGCCCGCGACACTTTAAATGTGGTCAGAACACGAACCGGTACCACTGACTTCTACTGGTACAGATAGTTAGGTACGTACTATACAGAACGTACTATACAGAATGCACCCCACGCCAAATAGTGACATGCCAGTGTCACAAGGTAATAAGGTATACAAAAAAAATGCTCATCTGACCTTAATTAAACGCCTAAAACCCCTGAGCTTCCGGGGCCGGCTCCGCCGTCTCGACCCCACCAGGGGCCCTAAGACGGGCCCCTGAATGCTTATCATGGGATTCAGGAATACATTGCTTATTAAAAAGCTTATCAAAAAGCGTCATTATTAAAGTCTTTCTTTCTTTTCTGAAGTAGGTAACCCTTGCAAATAATCGATCAAGTTAGTTCTACCACACCTGGTAACATTTATACCCAGATGTTGTGTGTCCGGACAGGTTGTGTAACCGGACAGTAAACTGTTTATTTAAAACAGCAATTTGAAGAAGTTGCACACAATATTTCGTTAATCATCTAAGACGTATGTTGGACTAAATTATCCAGGACAAGTATTAATGATGCTTAGAGCTAATTGGTGAATATTTCTCGTTAAATTCAAAAGCAAAAGAGAAGGCTTTTTGTTTGTTACGTGTGTCGGACATACCCCCCCCCCCCCCATCATAGTGACACGAACTGACTTAATGAATAAATAAATAAAAGAATACTATTACTACTCTCTCTCCAAAAAAAATGGGAATTTACGCTCTATTTTCACTTTCTTGGGAGTGACGTCAGGGATCACTTGTTTAGGAGTGAATGCGATTGATTTTCGAGTGGTCTCTAAGAAGAAAAAGGTGAATGTTCACTCTATTTTCACTACATTTTTACTCTCCAGAGGAGTGACGTCCGTGATCACTCGATTTCTTTTAGAGAGTACTACTATTACTACTACTACTACTACTACTACTACTATTACTACTACTATACTGCTTCTACAATCGTCATCGTGTCTTTTTGAGCTCGATCTTACTATCTGTGCACCCAACACAAATAACCAACAACAACAAGTAATACATAAAAAAAATATATTTACAATAGTTTCAAAAATACATATTTAATAAACTATCAAAAAGTTTGATTAAAAAAAAAAAAAATCATTAAGATCATAACTATCACATCATTCTCAACCTTCCCATGCATAATAACAAGATTAATTTATGTAAAACCAATAAAAAAAAAAGTGCAACGAATTTGAAAATTGCTTTGTAGCAAATTGTGCCTTCCCTGTCTATGTCATTTACTGATGAAACCACGTTGTTTAATCACTAGAAATTATACTTATTTGAAATCAGGAATAACGTAACAAGACAGTGTTTATAGATATTTTTGTCATCAAGTGCGAAATTTGTTCTAAAAACCTTTTACATGTTTTCCGGCTATTCGATTTTTTAAAACATGATAATATCGTATCTTTACTATTTTTTGTGTAATTATAAAGAGTAATAAACTAACGACTCGACAGTCAAGATCCGTTTTTTAATTGTTTAATTTGGTTAACGAATGTAAAGCCAAGGGTTCGAAGGGTCACGTCAATTTTATAAAACTTGTAAGGTATGATCATGGTTCAAACGCATAATTGAATAGAAATTTACACGGTAAGAAAAAGAAACTGTAAAAGGGAGTTCTGCTCTGTTTAAATTGGCTACTTAGAACCAGGACATTTTAGGAATATAACATATATATATATATATATACATATATATATATTTATATATGTTCATGGTTCGTGAATAGCTTCAGTAAACAATAATCAAGTACCCGACTCTTCTGCATTTCCCGAAAAACCTTTCTATTCAAGTTATTTTAATTCACTATTTCTTGATTAAATTCACCACTGACATATTTTTGATTAATATGTCATTTGTAAAATGTCATGGAGATATCTTAGAAATACATTCTAAAGACAAGAAGCAAATTAAAACTTGTCAATAAGATTGTAGTTGTAAAGGATAAATGAGCAACGTAAAATGAGCAAAGTAATAGGCCTCCCATTCTTTCTTTATTGTTTTCGTCCTTTCTAGAATTTTCTTTAAATGACACTTTTTTGCCTTTTAATTACATCTATCTGATCGACTTGTCGTTTGTCTAAGGACTTTTAAGTCGAATGACACATCTAAAGCACAAATTTACCCAATGCTGTTTTTATCCATCACACCTATAAATCTTCTCAACTTTTTTTTTCATCAACTATAGAATATTCCTCAAACTTTGTTGTCGACGGTTATCGATAATATTCCTGTTTTGATGGAGATCGCCTTGATGCAAAAAAAAAAAAAAAAAAAAAAATGACCAATATTAGGTCGGATCAAAAACTCATAAAATATCCTCGAATTGATGAAATTGGGTCAGCGATGGGGCGGAGGAGGGAGAACTGGCAGAGGTACTAACCTTTTTAACTTAATACGTCCCATACTGATGACTAAGAGCCGATAACGAGACACGTTTACGCTGCCGTCTGTTTTCTCTAAAATTTTGTTTCTTCTATTTTTTCTAATTGTTACATATTATATTTGGATTACGGCACTGATTCGAATTATTATATATGAAATTTAAACTTCAATATTAGACGTCACTAATCGGCTCAAACCACTAAAAGTCTCTCTATCTCTCTTTTATCTTCTAAAAGTGTAGATCTAAATCCTTTCTATGATGTACCCCCTTTGCATAGCACCAGAGAATGCATAGCGATCAATCAATCATTTCATTGTTCGATTTTGAGACTCAGCCGCAGGGTTTCTGTCCTTGGGTAAGGCATTCATATACTTTCCCCTGTCCCAACCCAGGGGGTGTTTCACAAAGATCCTAAGTTGAACTTATCTCTAAGTTTGAAAGCCATTAGCATCTTTGAAAATATTTCTTTATAAATATTTTAAAAGGCATAACAAGTTGATATAAATCATTCATATTTTCTATTATCATGGGAGATTTTATGTTCTTGATGGGGAATTTATGAAAAGTCTAACAAATACTTGAATTTTTGCTGTTGAATATATTTATTATAAGGCTACAAATGGCTCTCCATAATTGTTAAGTCCAACTTAGAGTTAAGTTCGACTTAGAATCTTTGTGAAACACCTCCCAGGAGTAATAACTAAAACGTAAGAAACAATTATTTTATGATTGATTTCAGAGTCTTGTAGGACATCAGTCGCTTTAAATGTTTGCGTGTTGTAAATGTAGTTGTATTATTTGTATTGTTTAAGAGTTACTGATACTTACTCATGTGAATACCAAAGATTGTGTAGACCAACACCAAAATATGCCACATTCCTCCACGCG